CTCCTAATCCTGTGACAGATGCTAGGTCCCATACACTCCTAACAAAGAGAATTGTTAGCCTGTTGAAGTAGAGCAGGGGTTCCCAAACTATAGTCTGTAGATCACTGATGATCCACATGGAGCACTTGCTGGTAGTCTGTGGAGAGTTGGATGGTTCCCCTTCTCCTTGTGTTCAGCTGAAAACTGCATTAAAATAAGCAAAAAATACATTCAATGCTTTCCTACTGTTACTTTTCCTATGTAAGTAATTGCTGTAGATGCCAGCTGGATGTTTTGTGACGGTGAGTGAAAGGGGAGATGGTCCATGCAGTGGTGAATGGGGGTGGGGTTGTCCATGGTCAATTTCCCTGTTAATATTTGTTGTGTGTAAGAAAAACTCTGGGAACTCATGAAATAGAGAATGTAAAACTGGACTGCTGAAAAAAATGGAGGAACAACTGGCTGGCTGCAAGGGGTGGACTAGGTGTGACCGAATAGATCTTTTCCATTGCTAAAGTCTAAGAATCTATACTGAGCAGGGAAGTGAAAGTGAGAAGAGCTGTTCTCATTTCTGAACTGCACAGTAATTGGTGTTAAAACATTCTGGACACCACTACCGCTATGATATACAGATGGGAACTAGAAGAGGAGTCACAGAACTGGCATACTACCAAAAAGGCCAGTAACATTTAAACCCGGATGGAACCAGTCAGCTGTGAACAGCTAAGATTCGCTAGCATGAGATACTGTGCTAGGGATCTGGAAGCCCTAACATAGAGATTGAGGAGCAATCAGGAACTCTCTGTATAAGGAGAGGCTAAATTCCTATATCATGTTGCCTGAATGAGACTGAGAAAGGGATTCCATATTAGAGAGAAAAGGGTTATTGAAAAACTACTTGCTGTTCTGAGCACCTAATTCTCCAAGTCCTTCTCCTCTGGGATCTGAAAGACAATCCTTCCAAATTCATACCTCTCAAACCATCTCCTGTTTACTGGTAGGAATAGCTATCTATATTACGCACCTATATGGCTCTCATCCCATAATACCCAAGTGCCTCCCAAGTCTTTATGGATTTATCATCATCCCATTCATGTAAGTTAGGGTACTGTGATCCCCATTTAAGTGACTGATTTATTTATTTAGATTTCAAATGATAAAGGGGATGCCTATCACATGGCTCTAGATGCCACGTTCATTAATTATGCGGTACATGGAAACCCCCAACAGCATTAAAATAATCATTCCATAGAGAGATGATGTGACTTCCTCAAGGTCACAGAATGAAACTGTGGCAGAGCCAAGAATTACATGCAGGGCTCCTGAATTAGGCTACAGTGCTATAAACCCAAGCCAGTCCTCCCTTCAGAAGTGTGCCCCACTCACGCCCGAAATGCAAGTCAGCAAAGACACAATCATGAGGAAAGTTGTAGGGAGAAAAATCTGATTTTCATCGTTTGGAGTCTGGAGTATAATTGGAGTCAGGGTGAGGCTCCGAGGACAAACAGAAATTAATATAATGCTTTTATTGCTTGAAGCTTTGGTTATGCTGTGTAGGATCTCTGAAGAAATTAGCCAATAGCTGTCCTGTAAGCAGCATTTGTGGATGGGGTAACATTTTGATCCCTCTTTCAGAGGTATCATTTTACCACAGCAGAGTTCCACTTTCTTGCCGGCACAGCAAACCTTGCCTGAATTACATGCAGCACAAACAGAGGGTCATTGTCAATTCCACCTTCAGTATTTTAGGGAGATTTTTGTACATTTGTAGTTAGCTGCAGATGCCATTGCTCGACGTACAGGCCCTGCCATGGATCCGAGAGGGAAATGCATTTATGTTTGCTACTCATAGGGTGACCAGATGTCCCAATTTTATAGGGACAGTCCCGATTTTGGGGTCTTTTTCTTATATAGGCTCCTATTACCCCCCACCCCCGTCCCAATTTTTCACATTTGCTGTCTGGTCATCCTAGCTACTCATCTCATTAACTCTCTCCTGCTCTCTGTGACAGCAAACTGTCCTTTTGCTTCAAAACTTGCAGCATCAGGTGTTACTGTTTTTCCCACCAAAATGATTAATTTCCTGTTGCACCTTCCCACCGATGGCTTTTTATAACAATGGGCAGAGTTAATTTTCAGGACATCGCTCTCTCTTTCTCTGTCTGGTTCTTTTGTTCATCAAAAGTCCACTATAGAATATTTTCTCTAAGAGCCCTGTGTGCTCCATGAGGAGGGTGTGTCCAAAGCAGCAGAACTTTCTTTCGTAAGCATTGCTTCCGTGATGTTTCTGAAACCTTGTTGTACATGATTTTATCTTGTCACTTGTCATAATTACCTTTTACAATTTGCATAATAGCTGCCAGGCGTCGACTATTAAATGTTTCCAGTTCTTTGATGTGTGACAGAGAGTAAGTTGGAAATCAGTACTTTGATTTTTGCATGCGGGTGGGTGTGGGATACTGTGCTGATTGCAATTTTAGTGTTGCAACTCTTCAAATTCAGACTATGCCTTTTTATTGGGCTAATGATTCGCTGGTCAGTAATGATCATGTCTGACAAAATTCCAAGCAGATAAAGGAAATCATTACCATGCTGAATTTGGCAACACTAGGTCTTAAATATACCTTCCAAGGTGCCGGTCTTGTACATTACTTCAGTTTCTCTCACACTGGTGGTTAGTTCGTAGCTTTGAGTTATCTCAGCACATTTGTTAGTGATGCAGTGGGGGTGTGGTAGAGCGTGTGCAACAAGAGCAGAATCATCTACTCATAGAAGCTCATCCTTAACCTCCTCGATTTCTTGTCTGGAGGCTTTAATCTGCTTGCAGAGTCTGCCGCTATTTCACAATGCAATAAAAATTCCTGCCATTTACACACTGGGGGCATCATCGTCGATCGATCATCATGGCAAAGAAGAATCCAAAGAAACTTACATTAGGGAATACCGGGAAGAATGAAGTGGGAGCGAAGGCACAGCTGGTTCACCCTCCTTTTATATTTTCTTGCTGGGATGTGTGTGCAGTGATGGATTGGAATAGGAGACAACGCCGGAGCCTGCAGCGGAACACGGAAATGTACTGGCAGAGCACTGTGTGAATGTGGGAAGTGAGCCACAGAGCTGCACTATTTAAAGTGCTTGAAACACCTGACATTAAGGTGGTCAGTCCAGTGCAGATAGATAGATTCTGAAATGATTCTTCTGTTTGTATTTAATATTTTTTTAAATATTGTACATTTATGATTTGTCATTCATGTGACCACTTTACAGCATAAAGCATTTACAGCCATTGATACTAACACAGTGCTAGACTAGGTGGAGACAATAGACCAGAAGAGGTGTGACGTATAACTATTATTTCTTGTTATTTCTATTGCAGTAGCATGTACAGATCCCACACAAGCATAACAGTGCTATCGTCGTAGGCTCTCGTGAGAAACCTGCACCAGCACATTGCCCAAGTTCTGGATGAGACCTTTGAAGAGATCACTGAGGCCGATTACCGCGATGTGAGAGAGCACATCAATGCCCTATCTAGGCATGCACGCAGCCCTAACCCTCCTCGCCCCAAGAGCCCGCACCGAATAACTTCCTTCCCAAAATAAATGCCGTTACTATTTACCAGAGGGGAGTCTTGCTTCCTCTGTTGGCGAGTAAGAGTCAAAATGTTACCCTTCCCTGGGTCCTCAGCAACCCTGATGTTACAGGGCACAAACTGATCACCAGGTGGGGTCAGAAAGACAATCCGTCCCAATGTATAGTATAATTAGGCAAAAGTTTTACACTTTCCTCTGAAGCATCCAGCACTGGTCACTATCAGAGACTGGATACCAGACCAAGGAGATCACTGTTCTCTTCCAAATATGAAGATTCCTTTGCTCCTGTAGGGAGAGTTTATCTATTTCTGTGTTATAAATAATGTTTCATTTCTGAGCAGAGGAATCCCCCCCGCACACACACACACACACACACTGTTCTGTGTGCCTGTGGGCCTGCGAGACATGCTTTGGAATATGCTGTGGATGCTATAAATCTAGCTCCACTCAGGCGTTCCCTATTTCCTCCCTGTTGTGTCTCCCTTGTGTTTGTTAACAGTAATTTCTGGTCCCTTCATTTAGTCTGGATCTTGTATGATCATGGAATGACATGACTCTGGACTCTAAAAGGTTTTCTTTGTAGGTGAGTGTGTCCATCAGAGGGGAGCGTAAGAGACATTTCACCCCAATATACCGTGCAAAGCCTTGCAGTTCTGAGTGCTCTGTATAGAATAGATATTACCTCCACGCAGCAAGCTGATGGGTAGAAGATCTCAGAAACCTTTTCTAGGATGTGCACTTATTTTATTTTAGAAATCTTTTTCCTTTGTTTCAAACACCTTTTCACCTTTGTTGTGCACTTATTTTATTTTAATTATGACTTAGAAATCAAAGGCCAGATTCTACACTCTTACACCAGTTTTATGTCCATGTAAACTGATTGATGTGCATGGAATTATCCTGTAAAACCAGCGTAACACAGTGGAAATCAGGCAGATGTTAATATAGTTAATTTTCATTTATAAAGGTCTGAAGAATATCAGACGCTGATTTTAGTGTGTGTAATTGTAGCAATAAATCACCAGCTGTGTAAAAAAAATGACTTTCATATCTAGTTTGTTGTCACATTTATTCAGCAACAGCTGTGCGAACAATGGATTTTTCGGTTCATTAGCCGTACTGAAAAAGTTAAAAAAATATTCTTTCAGCTTGACCCAAAATGAAAAATTTTTGAAATTATTATTATTCCCCAAACCAAAAAGTTGGAGGAAAAATAATTTTGCAGTAAACAAAACAACCCAAAACAAAAAAAATCCTTTCATTTTTGAGCTTTTAAAAACATTTTATGTTTTTTTTAAATAAAATTGAACCTATATTTCTGGATGAAAAGTAGCTGCAAAATTGACAGATTGAAACATTTTGCTTTGGGGTCAATTATTTAGATTTGGGATCAAATGTTTTTACTTTTTATTTTTGACCAAAGCAGTTCAGCGAAATCAGCATGAATTAACTAAATGTTTCCCTCTCTCGGAACGACGTGTTTTGACAAAAAGAAGATATGGCCAGAAAAGGTTACTCAACTCTGCTCAGAGATTCAGAGATTTTAAGGCCAGAAGGAACCATTGTCGCTACGTCATCTGACCTCCCACATAATGCAGACTAGAGAATTTCACCAGTGATTCCTGCATTGAGCCCATAACTTATTGTTAAACTAAAGCATGTCTTTTAAGATGACATCCAGTCTTGATTTAAAGATATCAAGGGATGAACGCTTCACTGCATCTCTAGATAAATTGTTCTCATGGTTAATTATCCTCAAAAATGTCCCTTATTTCCAGCCTGCATTTGTCTAGTTTCAGCCTTCATCAACTGGATGTTGTGTTTCTGTCTGCTGGATTAAAGAAAATCAGAAACCTATCCAAAATCTTCTTCCAGTGTATTTATAGACCATGGCCAAAGCCGCTCTTAACCTTCTTTCTTGATAAATTGAATAGACAGAGATTCTTGAGTCTCTCATCATAAGGCAGGTTTTCCAGGCTTGATTTTAGCAACTGCAGCCATTATATTTCTGTTTGTATTTAACAAGACCACTCTGCATTACAAATTAATTTTATCTTTTTAAATACTGTCCATTGGGCTGAACCTGGGCTGATTTTTATATCTTTGCAAAGTCCTGCTCATGATATTCGAGATCTCAGAAAGTTTGGGCTGGACTGGCGAAAGATAGGGATGAAGAAAATTTGTAGCCAAGGATTCACCATCCATGGAAAATATAGACTCTGATTTATCGAGACACTTTGTGAGTGAAGATCATTCTTAAGGTATGTATATGTTTTAAAAATTAGCAAAGCATTGAGCAGGAGCAGTGTCCTGGCCTGCCGTACGAGCTACGGGAATGCACTGTACAGAGGACACTCTAGAACAGGGGTTCTCAAACCCCAATTTAATGGGGTAGCCAGGGCTGGTGTTAGACTTGCTGGGGCCCAGGACCAAAGCCCAAGCCCCACCACCTGGGGCCAAAGCCCAACAGCTTCAGCTCTGGGTGGCGGGGCTCAGGTTACCGGTCCCCCTCCTGGGGCTGAAGCCCTTTAGCTTTGCGCCCTCTCCCCCTCCCCCTCCAATCTGGGGTGATGGGGCTCAGGCTTTGGCTTTGGCCCTCCCCGCCAGGGCGGAGGGTCTCAGATTTTGCCCCCCCTGGCCTGGGGTGGTGGGGCTTAGGTGGGCTCAGGCTTTGGTCCCCCCTCCTGGGGTCATGTAGTAATTTTTGTTGTCAAAAGGGGGTCGCAGTGAAATGAAGTTTGAGAACCCCTGCTCTAGAATAATCTATGCACATCACTGACATGTGGCATACACAGTATTACCCCCATTCACTTAGACAAGTTAAAAGAATGATAGTCCTTTTTTACTGAGAGGAGAGAAAGATCTTCATCCTGTAAATAACAGCTGGAAGGCAGGACGGCTCTGTACATCAAAGGTTATTTGTGACTGTCGGCCTGCAATGTACAATTGTGGGATGCTGTGTTTAGGAAGTTGGTAGATGAACCCGGATGGCTTCCTCTTTATTTCTTTCTTGGAATAACCTAGCCAAATGCTAACAACCTGTGAGTGCTCCAGACACGCTTCTACAGTACTTTCATTGGATGTTTGCTCAGACCATGGCCCGTCGGCTTGCCACAGTGTGGACACATGGTGGTTCACTGCTTCTTGTGTACTGCATCTAAAGGGAAATGGCCCAACTCCCTTGACTACATTCTGCCCTCCTCACCAACATGCGCTACAGCGATAGCATCTTCCTTGCTCTCTACCCACCATGCCAAAGGGCTCTGTTCAGTGGGCACATTTAAATAGTTCAGTCTGGTTTTAAAGGTATTACACATTCCAGCGATATTTAAAATGGGGAATATTTCTGGAACTAGTAATACTAAAATCAGAATTAATTTTAAGTGCATCCATTATATGTGAAATATGGATTCAGTGACATAAATATTACATATAAAATGTTATATTCTCTCTCTCTCAGCCTCTTTTCTCCCCATCTAATTTCTACCCATAAAAGGAAAAGTTTCAAGATAGCCACTCTCCCACTCCAACTTCTGAGTTGAAACTGTAATTTCACAAAATCTTAGAATTTGAGAAAATGTGTCTGGTTCAAGTGAGGCCCCAGCGCACAAACACAGATGACCAGGTTCTGACAAAAACTGTCACAAACCCATTGAGAACCAAACCCAGTGTGTGGCTCAGAGAGGGACTGGATTGTTCGGGGGTTGGTAATGGCTTACATAACCTTTCGCCTTTAGAGTACTAGGCTGAGTTCAATTTGACTGGTAGTGACCAAAGGAATAGCCCAGTGACCTGTGTGAAGGGAATTGGTTACTTTAGTCCATTTCATAGGGGAAACCCTAGAAGTCACCAGGCCTGTCTTCTAGTATTATACTGAGGCATTCAGTCTGCACAGCTGTCAGCCAGATTTTTCAGCTGTGCTCAATTAACCTTTTTTTTTTAACCTAAAATTTAGCATAGTGTTCTGAAAGAAACCCACAAACTCACATAAACCAGCCCGTATGCGCTGTACATATAGACTGTGAACAATAGCAGCTTATACAGTAACAGGCAGTGTGTTGACTTAGAAGTTAGGGCTGCAAAAGACGTGCTAAGTTAGTTAGTCCATTCCCTCAGACACATTGGCCAAAGCAAAATTGTTCTCCTTAATTTACTGAGATGAGGCTTCCACCACTTCCCTTTGGGGACTATGGCACAGTCTAACAGACCTATCTGAGCACATGGCTTTGTGTTTAACCCGGTACTAGAAACCACTGAAAAGTTTGATAGAGGAAATCATTTCCCAGACACAGGTTTCTTGATTGCATCAGGCAGAAGCAAAGTTTTATTAGAGACACTTTTTCAGCAGAAGGTAAATTACCAACCACGGTACAGATTAACTCAAGTAAGTAATTATTGTGATTGGACACACAGAGCATCACAGAATGGAAGAAGCAAATAGCATGATAGGCGGGAAGGTGGACCAAGGCTCAGATGGGCCCCTCAGGACAGTGGTGTTGGCATTAGCAGCGTTGAGTAATTCTGAAGAGCTCTTCTCCATGCTCTTTGTAGAGGTGCACAGTGCTGGCTGAGCTCTCGCTTTGTCCGTGGGTGGGTCTTTGCTCGGTGCGTCTTGCTCTGGAAGATGCCGGTTTCTC